GACGAGGCCCTCCGGGCCTAAAATATAAAATTTATTTATTATTTATTTATTGACTCAGGTTGTGATTCTGATTATTGTGTAGCCTATTCTGAAGTTATTTCAGTCATGATAGGATGCGGTCTTTTTAACGAGCTTCCTTCTGACCTAAACGTATGTACTGTACTGTTCTGCTATAAGTACCTACGTAATGAGTTTGACTTTTTATCATTGATTTTAATTGCCTTTAAATATTCAAATATATATAATGGGAAGCATGCACGAAAAAAGTACATATTTCTTGTAGCCTTTTGGTAGCAAATTGCGCCTTCTTTAAATTTTACGCTTAAAGAAGGGGTATCTTTCGGTATTAAAAAATCTCTAATTATGAGCTTTTTTATGATTGTTATGTTTTCATTCATAATACATCGCATCCGTCAATTTACTGATGCTGCCTATACTGTATAAAGTATGCTCCACATCTATTGCAACATTTGATGAGAATCGTGTGACTTTTTCCTCAAACTGTAGGCGAAAACGTACTTCTCCTTAAACAGAATGTGCACAATGCGCAGTTTGTAAACCTTGAATTCGAGTGTATCAGTCAGTACGTTTCAAAATTATTCCACAAAATAGTTTTTTAAACCGACAGATACACTTCCTTTAAGCACAGAATTTAAAGGAGGCGTAATTTGCTACCAAACGAGTACAAGAAATAATTTGTTCGTGCATTTTTTCCATAAAATATGTATACAATGAGCGTGCGAAAACTGAGAATCTTCTGCTCTTTCCGTTAAAATCTTTCCCATTTGTTCACAATAAGCTGTATACAGAAAACGTTTGGACATCTTCTGCATACAGCTTGACAGAGAATCATGACGGCATGTCTCGGGTCTTTATATACATGCTTGTCTATGGTCGTTCCTCGTGGTGCGGTAAAACAACTTACAGCCTTCTAAGACTACAACTTAACTTTATGTTACAAAACGCAGCGGATTTGCATTCGCCCTAAGTGGATATTTTTAAATTAGGTTTCTACAAGCGGGTACTCAGCAGATGTTCGGATCATTTGTCCGATGGTGTCTCCTCCAGCGCTTTGCCTCATGAACCTAACCAAGACTATGGTGGCAGCCAACCTTTTTTTAAAGGCAGTTCACAGTCACCATGTCACGGTGTCGCGACCAAGATGTGTGACATTTCATAAAGCCGTCGGTACGCTAACCTTCAGTCCTCCGCGTCCTTGTAGCACTGGTCCAGGACCACTTATTTGCTATGCTTCTGTGGACGTCTTAACAGGACAGGGGAATTATAACTACCAGCCTTCTTCAAAAAGGTGGCCTTGCGATACATTTTCAGAAGGTTAAATATGCCCATGTATTGACCACAATAATAAACCTGACACAAAGCTAAACCGTAACATTAATCTGGACACCAGCCTTACCTTAAACCTAATCCAGTCTGTCAACAGGAACCGAAACCTGAACCCTCAAAACAAATGTCGCCCTAATCGCAACTCTGACCTTAACACCGCCCTTCAATATGGCCCCACACTTAACGCCAATCCTTTACCTCTTCCGAAACCTAATCTGCCTGTAGGTTAGCATACTGT